AAAAGGTTCTCTCATGACAGTCAACGATAATGGATCTGGCAAAACTGGATATTCTCTTGGGAGAAGAAAATACATCCCACCTAAAGTGGGAGCTAGTTTTCTAACAGGAAAAAAAAATCGTATAAGGAAAAAAATCGATAATATGGACCAGGAAAATACTGTGAGAAAAGAGTAAATACAACACACATACACAGAAGTAACAAAGCTTCTCCTGAATCCAAGCTCTTTTATTTTTAAAAGGCTGATAAAAATTTACTCAAGTATCTTTCATACAGGTATATTTAGTGAACTTTGTCCAAAAAGGCTGTGTTTTAAGTTTATTTGTAAAAATAACAAAAGCTTTATCACCCAGTCTCTGGCCAGTAATAAAAGAAGAAAATCTTATTAAAAGTAACAATAAATAATTTCTAAGAAAATGTCAGGTGACATGAGAATACTATATTAATCTATATATTTTCTTTGTATTTACAATAAATCCATTTATTAATACTGTGACAGAAAAAAATAAAGAATTGATCCACATTATGTAGCAGAAAATAAGTTTTGAAGATGGTTATACCTCTCATAACAAAAACACACAAGGGCTTCTCACACAGCTGAAGTACTTTTCAACATAACGACAGTTTTGGGGTAAAGGTAAAACTTACAGAGTACTTTAGATTGGCTACATCCTAGAATCAAGGAATCCAAGGCATAACCATTCACCAAGCAGCAAAAGTGGGTTCATTTTTCCAGAACTATTTAAATATTGTATTTCCCATGTGAGAAATTAATTTTACTTTGTAAGTTAGAAAAAGTAAAAACACTAACTGGGAAACTGCATTAATCAAAAGCAGTCCCAAATTAAAGAGCCAAACAGAAATGAAATAAGGCATTCTTATAGGTATACCATGCATGAAAAGGATAATTACATAACACCTTCCTTAATGACTAGACTAATAAATAAATGAGGTAAATTTTAGTCACTGGGACAAACTATATTTAACTACTGAAGAGCTGTCCTGCCACTGTTTCTATTTCAAAATATAATTAACCTAATGTTTAAAAACTGCATACTTTGAGTGTTTGCGTTTTAGATCCCCTCCTGTGATAGAGGTATAACAAAATAGTATCTGAGCATACAAATTATCAACACCAAATATGATACAGTTATCATGTAATTCATGTTTTGTATATGTACAGTGGAAATACTGTAAAAGCTAGAAAAAAAGAATGAAAACAGCCTAGCCAGAATTTTAAATTTCAGACTAGTGCATGATAAAAATTTAGAACAGAAAAAATAAAATTCACAAAATAGGTAACTTGCTATCTTTTCCATATTCTGTGGTCAACTAAGATGTAATCTCTAAACAAATCCATAACCTTAAAGGGTACAAAGAGGAAGAAAACATAAATCTCTTTATTAGTTATCTGTTTTATTTGCTGAAAGAAGGCTAACATTAGCAAGAACTGTCACACTATTTATAAAGTCTAGAATATATATTTTAGTTATTAGACTTAAAAGAGAAAAATATTAATTGAATATTTTCTACCACATTGCTATTATCTATAACTACCTTTAGTACCATAATTTATAAGATGTCCACCATTAACTAGGCAGCATTTTTCAGAGTATATCAATGTCAATTTATGCTTTCTTCGTCCCCTTGCCATTTGAAACCATTATTTTAAACTATCTGATAGGAAATTTTATTTTACAAATTCCTTGTTTCAATTACTGAAGATGTGATTTAAAAACATAAATGGATGCACCTGCCAATCTTGAGATGATGATGATGATGATGATGGAAGGAAAATGAAAAACTTGGCAATTTGGCCCTCCAGGAGAGAGAACTCTTCCCTGTACCTGCACCTCCTGCCTGGCAGAGCCCTGGCATGGACGCTACCTGCATTATCATCCAGCTCAGGCACTGTGACCAGGGGTGGCCACCCAGGGGCTGTGCCTGTGTCCCCTGCCCTTCCTGGCCACGGGTGAGGGTGGGGTTTCGTGTCTGGCTGCCCCGCTAAAGCGACATTGTGTAGACTCTCTCTGGTGATGAGTAACCTGGCTGTCACTGGTTCTGCATGTCCATCCCGTTAGCACATGGTCCCCAGCAGACTTTAGCAGGGCACGAGGGCTTCCATCAGTTCATAAAACACATTCAACACACAAGCAGATTATTTATCACCACCCAGTGACACCAAGTGTGACAAAATGTTTGTGACACCTCTCTGAGGACAAACAGAACCCCTGACACTCTATTTGGAGCTGATACGGATACTATATTTGGAGCAGGAAAGAAACCTTGGTTCTTGGGGGCTGGTGTATGGCACAGTAGACTAAGACACTGCTTATGATGCCAGCATCCCATAATTCAAGTGCCTGTTCAAGCCCTGGCTCCGAGCCAGCTCCCAGTGTAAGCACTTCCTGAGAAACCAGTAGAAGATGGCCCCAGAACCGTCCCCTGCCACCCCCGTGAGAGACCTGCATTAGTTCTAGCCTTTTTGAAATAATTTACCTTATTGATTTGAAAGGCAGAGTTACAGAGAGGGAGGGAGGAAGAGAGGGACAGAAGCACACACGCACACACACACACAGAGGTCTTCCATCTTCTGGCTCACTTCCCAAATAGCCACGATGGCCAGGGCTATGCCAGGCTGAAGCCCTGAACCAGGAGTTTCTATCAGGTCTGCTACATGGGAGAAGCAGCCTAAACATTTGAGTCATCTTTGGAAGCTTTCCCAGGCGCATTAGCAGGGAGCTGGATCGGGGGTGAAGCTGCTGAGACTCAAACCAGCACCCATATGGATGCCAGCACTGCACCACTGGCTTAACCCATTACACCACAGTGCCAGCCCCACAGGCTCCTGGCTCAAACCAGCCCACCTGGCCATTGCGGCCATGTGGGGAGTACGCAGAGGATGGAAGATCACTTGACTTTTCAAATAAATAAATCTTAAAAGAAGCCTGGGCTCCGGCGCTGTGGCATAGCAGTAAAGCTGCCGCCTGTGACACTGGCATCCCATATTGGGAGGCTGGTTTGGGTCCCGGCTGCTCTGCTTCTGATCCAGCTCCCTGCTAATGTGCCTGGGAAGGCAGAGGAAGATGGCCAACTACCTGGGGCATTGCCACCTGCTGGGGAGACCTGGATGGAGTTTGGGTGCCTGCCTTCAGACGGGCCTAGTCCAGGCAGGGTAGCCATTTGTGTGGGCTGTGGCAGGTGAACCACGGATGGAAGATTTCTTCGTCTCTTTTGCTCTGTGTGTGTGTGTGTGTGTGCATTTGTTGCCCTCTTTCTGTTACACTGCCATTCAAATAAATAAAATATAAAAATGAAATAAAGTCTAAGAAACACATTTTCCTAGGAGCTTCCTTTGGGATTGACACTAAGAGCCCATGGAGATTCCACCCCCTCGTTTTAGTCCAGTGTGGACAAGATAGGACTTTAGCAGCATGTTGAGGCTACTGCTGAGCAGAGCTGGGGGATACAGAGTCTCGGGGCCATCACATACCTCGGGGGAGATGGACTTTCTAGAACCAGGTGGGTGTGCAAGGCTCCCACCAGCACTGGGGAGGAGTGATGAGAATGAGAGCTGGGGGTGTCTCTCGTCCTTACGGCCGCAGCTTTGCAAAGTGGATGGGAACTCAGCTTTTCTAGGGCTGTGCTACTTGAAGGGACTTGGAAAACTTCAAGGAAATGGAATTAAAGGATAAGACTGTTTGGTGCCAAACTTCATGGTAAAAGTATGCTAAGTAATAACTATCAAGTTTCAAAACTGGTTTGGATTAAATAAAAAATTAATTCTATTTTTGTGATGAAGTTTAGGAAGTACCCCGTGTTTCATCTTTATTTATCTGCCATAGAAAAGTCAAAATTTTGGGGCAGTGCTGCGGAGTAAGAGGTAAAGACACGGCCCAGGGTACAGGCATCACCTATGGGCACTGGTTCAAGCCCTGACTGCTCCACTTCCTATCTAGCACTCTGCTATGGCCTGGGAAAACAGGCCATAAAACAGTCTCCATGAGGGAGACCTAGAAGAAGCTCCTGGCTCCTGGATCAGCACAGCACGGCATTTGTGGCCATTTGGGGAGTGGACCAGCAGATGGATGACCTCTCTCACTCTTGGCACTTCTGATCCTGTGTAACTCTGCCTTTCAAATCAATCAAAGAATAAAGAGAAAGAAAAAAAACCATAGAAGTAAGATTGGTATTACCTTTACTTAATGGAAAACAGTAACAAGAGTCATCATACTTTAATTTTTTTGGCTTAAGTAATAAAACTGTAGTGAGAATTCCTGTGGTGCTGGTTCTTTCCTCCCAGCCTTGAGGAGGTGACCAGCACTGCAGGAAATCACGGAGAAATCGCATCGTGCAATGTCCCTGGGCAACCGGAGGAGGGGTCATCTCCCCAAAGAGGGTTCCTCTTCCAAGAGGGCTTGGGCAGTCGGTGCCGAGGGACCACCACGTGTTCCTGGGGCCCACGGCTGTGCTGGGCCCTGGGGGCTCCTCCAGAACTGCAGGAGACACCGATCCACCTGCCATGTGGGGCGGGGGTTCCCGGGCTCATTTCCTACCTGAGAGGAGGTTGTGGCTTCCTCGGGAGAAACACTGGTCCCAAGGAGACAGACTCAAGGCTGTGATGTGGCCAAGTCTCCTCATTTCTGGGCTGTGTAGGTCCTGAGGAGTTGAAGCAGGGAGTCTCATTTTTTTTCTAAGTTGTATTCTATTTGTGTGAGAGTGAAGAGGGGAAAAGAGAGTGCTAGTGAGGGAGGGGGGAACTCCTCCATGATCTGATACACCCCACAAATGACCTCCAGGACTAGGCCAGGCTGAAGGCAGGAGCCAAGTGTTTTGGCTGTTGTGACAGGAGCCCAGAACCCCAAGTGCCTGGCAGAGCCTCGATTCCTCCCTACCAGGCAGAGGACAGTCTCGTGGATGTAGCTTTCTCAGCTGCCACTGATTGGGCCTTCCCTGTTTGGACTGCAGGGACCCCACTACCTTCTGGGCTTCCGGGGTTTCTGCCGAGAAATCTGACGATGACTTAGGGGGAAAGGGTGACAAAGCCACCTTCCTCTCAGCTCTGGAGATGTGGACAGTGTACCTGGTGGTGTCTTGGGCAACAGAACACGTGTTGAGTTTACCGAGGCCAGAGATGTTGTTCCATCATTCAGAGACCCATCACTCAGAGGGTAAAGGCAAAGGAGGGGCTATACTAAGTGGAGACACTAGGAGGTCTTCAAAAGACACAAATTGTTATCACCTTTTACACTAGAAAAGACCACCGAAGCACCATACTTGTTTGAATTTCTCAAAAATTAAGTATCAATCCCTATCACCAATCAAAGGCAAAAGCTTTTAGGGTATCTTTTTAATTTAATTATAAAATTCCTGCGAAAACCCCCGTGAATTATCTGCAGCCGTGATTGGTCAATTTCTTGCTCTGACTTCATAATGCCTCACTGTTATGAAAGTGAGGACCGGTGATGGAGGACCGGGTGCTGCGTGGCATCAGCCCGGCCCTGCAGGAGCTGCTGGCATGGCTGCTCTCTGTCGACACATCGGGGACCAGTGCGGAGGACGCCAGGACCCACTCGTGGTTCGGCCCCAGCCAAGAAGCCGCCCAGGAGCACGAGGAGGGTGCCGTCACCCCACTGCAGCCCCTGGGCGTTCCCCGGGACCCGGAGGCCAGGGAGTACCTGGCGGGCCTCGGCCTGCTGCCAGGCACGGGGACTGAGTGGAGGCCAGGCCCTCAGCCCCAGGATCCCGCGGCCCTGCCCAAGTCCTCGCAGAGCAGCAAGCGCCCCCCCATAGAGGACTACTGCTTGGCTCTGGTGTCGAGGTTCCATGACAGCATGGCCGACGTTTCCTCCGCACAAAGCGACTCCTCTGAGGCCTCCAGTGAGTCTTGCCCTCCCCCTGCCTCGGGGCCTCCTGTAGCTGAGCCCAAGGCCCCGAGGTGACCCCACTCTTGACTCTCCCCTACCAGGCCAGCCACTGCAGGAGAGGAGCCCTGCTCCCAGCGCAGCCCCCGACTCCTCCGAGCCCTCCAGTGAGTCTTCCCCTCTCCCTCCCAGCCCCAGCCATCTCGGGTACTCTTGTGGCTGAGCCCAAGGCCCACGTGGTGACCCCTTCTTGACTCTCCTACCAGGCCAGCTACCACAGGAGAGGAGCCCTGCTCCCAGCGCAGCCCCCGAGCCAGCCTCCAAGGCGTCACCCTCCAGCCCCAGTGCCAGGAGCCGTGTGGACCTCGCAGAGCCAGAAGCTGCTGCAGCTGCCCGTGAGCCTGAGGGGGCTGGGACCGCAGCCACCGCTGACACCACAGCCAGCGCCCAGGGCAAGAGGCAGGGCCGGCGCGGGGTCGGCAGGAGGATCCTCCGGTTCCTGCTGAGGGCGTGCTGCATCCTGCCGTCCCGAGGGAGCAGCTCTGGTCACTGCTGCTGCAGAAAAGCCCCCAAGTAGCCTCGCTCCGCCGCCGTCACCAGGAGCAATGCGCAGGCTGAGCTCACTGAACGTTTTCCTTTTCTTGAGCATTTGCAAATGCTTCTCATGAATAAAATTCACCTTTGTGTGTGGCTTTGGTCCCGTGTGATGTTTGGGTCCCTGTGTGCACTTTGGGGAGGTGATGGAGGTATGGGCGGGTGGCTCTCACAGAAAGAAAAACGTTGTGCTTCTCACCTGAGTGTGGATCACAGAAGGGGTGACCTCCTAGAAGTAGAGCATAGAGTGATGCCTCCCAGAGGCTGGGCGGGAGAGAGGGAGGGAGGGGAGTCCCTCGTCCACATGGCACAGGCACACGAGGGTTGGGGTCTGAGGTCTCTGGCACAGCAGGGAGGTCCCAGTCCACAGAGCTGAGCATCGCAACAGAGCTGTCAGTGTCCTATCCAACATCTCCTGTGTCGTCAAGGGAGAACACGACCCCATTCCCCTGAGGGCCATGCACCTGGCCTCATGGGGTCCGGGATCTACCGGCTCTGCAGTCCAACAGCTGCAGGTGGAGCTGGGCAGGATGTCCACGCTGCTGTGTGCCCGGCCTGTCCAAGGTGAGGCCCACATGTAGCAGAGGACGCAGGCAGGACGAGGACCTGGTTGTTAGTTCAGGAGGCCCCTGGCAGCACCCAGGCCTTCCAAGTTTCCTCCCTGGGCTGCCCACAGGCTGACTTCACCAAGGCAGAAGCCGCGAGCTCCATCCGGGTCTCGCAGGTGGGTGTCAGGGACCCTGGCCATGGGCCGTCCCCTGCCGCTCCCAGAGCGCACACCTGCAGGAAGCTGGAGTTGAAATGCTGCCGGCTCTCAAACGCAGACACTGGCACATGCGTGCTGCTTCCCAAGAGGGGTCCCCACACCTGCCCCAAGCCCCGCACCTCTGTGGCATTGTTGGAACCATCATGAGCTCTACTTGAAGGACGCATTCTTCTGCCCTTGAATCTTTGAAGAGTCAGGCCAGGCAAAGACGAGGACATCCATTACAACGCCAGCATCCCCCGTGGGAATCTCACACAGCGGGATTTCTTAGTCTCTGGAGGGGCAGCGTTGTGACACAGCTGTCAGTGCCGCCGCCTGGGACACCGCATCCCACATGGGTGCAGCTTTGGGCCCTGCTGCTCCACTTCCGATCCTGCTCCCTGCTCACGTGCTGGGAACGCAGCAGAAGATGGCCCAAGTGTTAGTGCCGCTGAGGAGTCCTCGGCCACGCTCGCAGCCCTGGGACACAGGGCTGCAGGGCAGAGGGACAGGAACACAGTTAGCACAGCCAGACCTGCTGTCCTCATGGATCCTTACCACAGCCCAGTGGGGGCCAGGCACCCTGATCAGAGCAGGTGTGTGTGTGCGTGTGTGTGCATGTCTATGTACACCGTGCATCATGTCTGTGCCTGTGTGCTTGTGCATCACGTGTGTCTGTGTGTGTGCCTGTGCGTATCGCTCATCATGTCTGTGCCTGTGTGCGTGTGTGAGTGTGCATCATGTGTATCTGTATGTCTGTGTGTCTGTGGGTATCGCTCATCATGTCTGTGTGTGTGTGAGTGTGCATCATGTGTATCTCTGTGTGTCTGTGGGTATCGCTCATCGTGTTTGTGACTGTGCGTGCCTGCATCATGTGTGTGTCCGTGTGTGCAAATGTGTACCATTCATTATGTCTGTGCATGTATGTGTGCTGAAACGTGGATGAACCTATAGCTAATGACTAGATTTGAGGATTAGGACCAAGCCCAAAGCCCGCTGGCCCTGGTCGGGGGCTGAGGTGACGGGGGGGGGGGGGGGGGGCGACCTGGGGCAGCATTGATCTCTCAGGGAGGGGGGCGCCTGGGGGCAGTGTTGATCTCTCAGGGAGGGGGGGCCTGGGGCAGCATTGATCTCTCAGGGAGGAGGGGGGCCTGGGGCAGTGTTGATCTCTCAGGCTTCTGGAGCTGGGGCCAGGCCAGGGCCTGCAGAGCTGCTCCCAGCCTCACAGAGGCCGCCTCCCCTGGCCTTCTCCCCTGCTCACCAGGCAGGGCGGCCCGGGGCTTCTGTCCTGAGACGGCCCTGAGCCCTGGCAGTCTCCTCCAAGCCCGCCTCCCCAGGCTCCTGCACACACTGTCACGCCGGGGGTGGGGCGGGACGTGGCTGGGAGGCTGCGGGCATAGTCAAGCTCTCCACGCCTTCCCTCCCATTATGGTGGGAAGCGCTGGGGGCCCTAAGCTAGTGTCCCGAGCTTTGGAAGGCCTCGCTGCTGTCCTTTTCTTTCATTAATTAATTGATTTGAAAACCAGCATTACACACAAAGAGAGGCAGAGAGAGAGAGAGAGAGAGAGAGGAGAGAGGAGAGAGGAGAGAGAGGAGAGTGTTCCATCTGCTGGTTCACTGTCTAGATGGCCTGGCCGCAATGGCCGGGGCTGCACTGATCCGAAGTCAGGAGCCAGGAGCTTCCTCTGGGTCTCCCACATGGGTGCAGGGCTCCAAGGACTTGGGCCATCTTCTACTGTTTTCCCAGGCCACAGCAGAGAGCTGGATTGGAAGTGGAGCAGCTGGACTTGAACTGGCGCCCATACAGGATGCCTGCACTACAGGCAGCGGCTTTACCTGCTATGCCACAGCGCTGGCCCCCCTACTGCTGTTTCAACTTAGGCTGACCCTGTGGTCATAGTTCACAGGGCATGGTTAGCACCTGTGCCCATGTGCGTGCTGGGCAGCTCCTGGCAAGGAGAGCTTCCCCAGTGGGCCGCCAGGGCTGGGGCCTTCGTGTGCTGCTGGAAGTCAGGTGGTGAGCGCCACTCCTTTTGCCTCGCGCTCTGGGCAGCCTTGTCTCTTCACCCCAGAGCGCCCTGGAGGTATTGTTTCAGGTGCTTGCCCGGATATCAAAAAGTTGGGGGAATTCTGTCCCGGTGGTCAGGGACCGCACAGGCACTGAGTGCTCATCCCACAAGGCTGGCCTAGGATGGCTGGGACCAACCACTGGCCGAGAGCAGAGCGTCTCCAGTCCACCGTGCATGGACAGCTTATGGGGAGCATAAGGCGCGGCTCCTCAGAGCCTGTCCCCAAAGCGTCTGCCCCCTGAAGGTCCCAGAGTGGTCATGCTGCCTTCAGCGGCCGTGCCCTCGGGGCTCCCGCCTCTGGGACACCAGGCAGAGAGCCTGTTCCATTTTCCTTGCTGCCTCACTGGGGCCCTTCATGCTGCACACAGGACTTGTGTTCGTGTTCCGCCCTGAGGCTACGATGCTGAAAGTGACACCTGAAACACTGAACTAGTGATTTCCAGGCGGTGTGGACAGCGCCAGCGCCCGGCAAGTGCAGGGCATCCCAGGAGTTCCCATGGGGCAGGGAGACTCCCGAGGATGGCGGTCACGGGCCGATCCTGGAGAACTGGAAGTTCACTGGGCGGGGCCCAGAGGCTCCTCCAGGCCGAGGAGGCTTGCTTGGGCTGCTGCTGTGGGGCCGGAGAGACCTGGCTCGCAGAGGGCAGCCGGCCGCTCTGTTGGGTGGGCAGGTAGACACCAGCCTGTGTGTGTGTAAAAGACGCCTAAGGGAAGACAGGGAGTTCGCTGCGGGAGGAACAAGCAGCCTTAGCACGCCTTGGAGAACAGCCCAGCATTTGCACGTCAAAATCCTGCCCATGTCCCCATCAGTTAGGTGGTCCCAGCCTGCCCCCTGGAGATGTCCCGGGAAAACATTGGGGAAGAAAACTCTGGGAGAATTTTTACAAATTTCACACCCAGAAAGCCCATTGCCCAGCAATATCCTAGAAGCTGGGGGAGAAGCACCAGTCAGTCAGAAGGTAGGTTCAGACATGAGTTGCCCATTTGCCCTGTTGGATGCACTACCTCCTTAAACCCTGCTAGCTTGTTTACCACTACTCTCTTCTCACATTGGAGACAATGTTGCAATCACAGCTAATTTGCTGTGTTAATAAGCTGGTGAGGGTGTGGGGAGAGCCTTGCCAGGGAAGAAGGGGAGTAAACCACATCTTGGGGTAATGCAATCTCTCAGTCTCATTTCTGCCTTGTTCCCTCTCCCTGACTCTGCAGAGACGTCCATTCACTGATGGCCTTGGCCTCAAATCAGACCCCCGTTCTCCAGGGTTAGCCTCTGCGGTGTGGGGGGGGTGCCTGGATGCCTGTGTCTCAGCTGTCACCCAGGACTCTGCTCCCCTTGGCCATCACTAGAGAGCTCTGCGGCCACCCTGGCTGGCTCTAAGAGGATGGCCCAGCCCAGGGCCATTGCTTCAGTTGCCCCAAGTGCAACTGTATCCAGACTGGGTGTTAACAACAGAGTGTCCAGGTGCAGGGAGGACAAAGGGGAAAAATTGCAGAAAGTGCCTGGGGACAGACTCTGTGCCAGCCAGGGCTGGCTTCTGCTCCCTGGGGGTCCCCTCCTGCCGGGACCCTGTCCCTCCAGACTGTGACAGAGGTCTCCCTGCCCCAGCCCCTTGTCCTTGGCGCAGCTTTACCTCAGCCCCCAAAGGGCAGCGTCTTCAGACAACATCAAATGAGCCCCTGCAGGGCAGACACAGCCACCCTTTGGCTTCTCAACTTCCATTCACCACACTCATGTGTTTCATGAAGAAGGAAAATGAAGGACCCCAAAAGCGGTGTCCTTTTGTGACGACCCCAGAAACACAGACTCCAGACCAGACGATGCAAAAAACAGGAGGCAGTTTTATTTCATTTGCGCAAATGGGCCCTCTGCTGGCTGCTGCAAGCAGCGGAGCAAGAGAGGAGCCCCGAGCAGCTATCTCACACAGCTTTTAAGGGGCAAAACCACAAAATTAACATACCATAGGGTGGCGTAAGTTTATTGGGCAACTACAAGGGGAGGAGGTCGTCGAGGAGGAGGAGGAGGAACGGGTGGCTACGTGCCCTATGTGTCTAAGCTTGGACAAGGGGAGGGGGTCATTGAGGAGGGGAAAGGGGTGGCTACGTGCCTTACATGCCTTGCGGTTTCTTTGTTAAGCTTGAGCAAGCACAGGGGAGGGGGCTTATCTACATAGCAGGATGTTCTGTTGCCTGTATCTCTGGTTAGTAGCTAACTGCTTTCTCTGTGAATCGGTTTACTCTCCCATTTCCCAAGGCCGTCT